TCTTCGACATTATTATAATACCTAATGGTATTCTAGTGTCCTAACCACCAGTCCATTTCAGACCCCTTCATATAAGGCTTTTATCTCCTTATATTTTTCAAACAATGTTTAAATTCTCATCACCCCATCCAGCCCCGGCGTTAAGGATAGACTTCATAAGCGGTTGCCTGGAGGTGAGGGTGGAGAACCAGATTTTGAATGGGCTCCAATGTCATAATGGGTGCAGCCTTATTTTATGCTTAGGATTCCAACTAAGTTATTGCCAGTCTTGGTCCCAACACCACACGTAAGAATACATAGTCTTTATTAAAGAATGAGTGGCATCAATGGGCTGGAATGGCCCATACCAGGTTTGGGCGAAATTAGCACAATTATGCAGGGTGTCTAAAAAGTCTAGAACGATAAATGATTTCCAGCATTTCTTGATTTCAGATACGTGACTGATTACGGCGCTGTCAAAGCCCGAGAAAGTCGAATTAATCCTGCTGTTAATCCAAACTTGTTTCGAATTACAAAAAAGCATATGGAACACATTCGTAAAATTCGTTAAAGTGCCTATGATTCCAGTCTTTTCGGACACCCTGCATAACAGATATGGCATGGCTGTATCATTTATACCACGTCATCCAACCCAGGGGCTTCCAAACGTTCTCAGTACAAGGACCCCTAGAACATTCCGCATCATGACTAAGGCCCCCCAACCAAGGAATCTCTATAGTGTTCGAGAAACCCTAACCTAACCAATTATTTGAAACAATCCTGGGCATGCGTCCGCTTATAACTAGTGAACTACTGGACCAATTATCACCAAACCTGGCATATACCATTAGGAACTCCAGAGAGTGCCTTAGTGGTCGGGTTTCGAATTTGGACCCCAATGTCATCATTCAATGGCCCCCTACGTCATACCCTTGCGTTGAACGAATATATTAGCTGGTAATTTCGAATATGGCGATGATCCTTAATTCAAATCTTATTCAGAACATGTTGTTGTTTTTTCTGTTATATACATTTTAAATCTATTTATCTTTGTTTGTAATAAAGCACAAAGCTACACAATTGGCTATCTGTTCTCTGCCCACCATGGATATGGAAACCCAGTTTCTAGCATTGTAAGTCCGCGGACATACCTCTGTGCCACTGAGGGGCTTCTATTTATCAAAAAATCTGATAATGTACATTATGTTATACTGACGATAGGTGAAGGCTTCTACCTCATCATCTTTCCTCAAGGCAGTTCGTACGACAGAACGGCAGACAAAGTATCAGTGTGCTTTACTTCTACACGAAACTATAACGCACGTAGTAGTGTACACTATTGACGTTTATTCTTCTACATCATGTACGCAACGCACGTTGTAGTGTACAGTACTGTCATTTTGCTTCAATATTATGTCCGTAACGCACGTTGTAGGCCACAATATTGTCATTTATTCTTTTACATCATGTTTATAACGCACGTTGTAGTGTACAGTATTGTCATTTAGTCTTCTACATCATGTCCGTAACGCATGTTATAGGATATAGTGTTGTCATATATCTTCTACTTCATGTCCTTAACACATATAATAGTGTACTCTATTGCCATTTACTCTTCTACATCATGTCCGTAACGCACGTTATAGGATATAGTGTTGTCTTATATCTTCTACTTCATGTCCTTAACACATATAATAGTGTACTCTATTGCCATTTACTCTTCTGCATCATATCCGTAACACACGTTATAGAATATAGTGTTGTCATATATCTTCTACTTCATGTCCTTAACACATATAATAGTGTACTGTATTAGCATTTACTCTTCTGCATCATATCCGTAACACACGTTATAGAATATAGTGTTGTCTTATATCTTCTACTTCATGTCCTTAACACATATAATAGTGTACTCTATTGCCATTTACTCTTCTGCATCATATCCGTAACACACGTTATAGAATATAGTGTTGTCATATATCTTCTACTTCATGTCCTTAACACATATAATAGTGTACTGTATTGCCATTTACTCTTCTACATCATGTCCGTAACGCATGTTATAATATATAGTGTTGTCATATATCTTCTACTTCATGTCCTTAACACATATAATCGTGTACTGTATTGCCATTTACTCTTCTGCATCATATCCGTAACACACGTTATAGTGCATATTATTGTCATTTATTCTTCTACATCATGTCCATAACACACATAGTAGGCAATAATATTGTTGTCATTTAGTCTTATATATCAAGTCCATAACGCACGTAGTAATGTACCGTATTGGTATTTATTCTTTTACATCATGTTCGTTACAAGCGTTATAAGTTATATTATTGTTATCTAGTCTTCTACGTGGTATCCGCAACGCACGATGTAGGCTATAGTATTGTCATTTAGTCTTTTACATCATGTCCGTAACACATGCGGTCCGACATGGCCAGGTGGGTAGGGGTGCTCGACTCGCAATCTGCGGGTCGCGGATCGAATCTCCGTCACACCAAACATGTTTGCCCTTTCAGCCGTGGGGGCATTATAAAGTGATGGTTAATCACACTATTCGTTGGTAAAAGAGTAACCCAAGAGTTGGCGGTGGGTGGTGATGACTAGCTGTCTTCCCTCTAGTCTTACACTGCTAAATTACGGACTGCTAGCGCAGACAGTCCTCGTATATCTTAGCGCGAAATTCATAACAAAGAAAGAAACAACAAACCATAGCGCATATTGTGGGCTACAGTACTGTCCTTTAGTTTTTAAAGACTAAAGGACAGTACTGTAGCCCACAATATGCGTTTCGGACATTATGCAAACAATTAAATGACAGTATTGTAGCTTACAACATGACTTATGCACATGATGCGAAAGACTAAAGGACAGTACTGTAGCCCACAATATGCGTTTCGGACATTATGCAAACAATTAAATGACAGTATTGTAGCTTACAACATGACTTATGCACATGATGCGATGCATTATGTTAAATAACACAAGTTGTGAATATTTCCTCTTTGTTCAAACCTGGGCTGTGTTTTCGTTAAAGCTGAGGCAACATCAGAACTATGTTTTATTATATGGTATAAAAGTATGGTGTGTTACAATATAGTGTGTTACGATATGATATAAAAGCATGGTATGCTACGATATGGTATAAAGCATGGTATGTTACAATATAGTATCATACGATGTGGTATAAAAGCATGGTGTGTTACAATATATTGTTTTATGATATGATATAAAAGCATGGTATGCTATGATATGATATAAAAGCATGGTATGCTACGATATGGTATAAAGCATGGTATGTTACAATATAGTATCATACGATGTGGTATAAAAGCATGGTGTGTTACAATATATTGTTTTATGATATGATATAAAAGCATGGTATGCTATGATATGATATAAAAGCATGGTATGCTACGATATGGTATAAAGCATGGTATGTTACAATATGATATAAGAACATAGTATGCTAGAATATAGTATGTTACAATATGATATAAGAGCATGGTATGTTACAATATGATATATAAAGTATAGTATGCTAGTATATGGTATGTTACAATATAGTATGATACGATGTGGTATAAAAGCATGGTGTGTTACAATATATTGTTTTATGATATGATATAAAAGCATGGCACGTCACGATATGATATGAAAGCATGGTATATTACAATATGATATAAGAACATAGTATGCTAGAATATAGTATGTTACAATATGATATAAAGAGCATGGTATGTTACAATATGATATATATAAAGTATAGTATGCTAGTATATAGTATGTTACAATATAATATGTTACGATATGATATGAAAGCATGGTATGTTACAATATAGTATGCTACGATATGGTATAAAAAGCATAGTATGCTAAAATATAAATGCGTAACTTTTCAGACATCTCATCATGAAAGAACAACCCGTAATTTCTCGTTACTCGAGATGTATTAAACATAATAACGCGAAAACTTTATGAAAAAAAAATTTGTTTTTCACAATCATAGAAGTTATAAGTAGTCTGTAAAAAATCATTTTAAACGGATAAATGTAGGAGGTTACGTTATTTAAAGACATGTTTTGATCTACCGACCAAACTATCACGGTCTCCCATAATAGCCGTACGTCGTTTACGCAAGTGAGACTGAAACTGACTTCTCTGTTCCTTGTTATGATGATGATGTAGCGTATACTTCTTCGTTTACAGCAAAGAAATTTGATGTAAAGTTGTGATACTGCTAAGTTCTGTGCAAAATGTACACTGTATCAACAGCTTGCCGTGACAAAGCTTCTCAAATTTTGTAATTTCTAACCTTCACCACAGATTACTTTTAACTCTCAAAGTATCGTCTTGTTTCCATATTCACTACTGGTGTGATCCACATTTTTACATGATTGATTTTTTTTTCTTGTTACAAAGTTCATTCTAGTAAACAGACCCCCCCCCCAAAAAAAAGAGAGGGTGAAATTACTCATGTTTTATGTAAAATACATAGGGAATCCATGTTGTAATTAGTGACATTAATTGCAAAACTGATAGTACATTTATTTACATCTTTTGTACGGCCCATATGATATTATGAACCCTGTAACCAAGAAAATCATGAATCCACAAGTAATTTGTTACATAAACAGTATAGAAACGTGTTTAAGGAGCCGATGGGGCTCAGGCCTCATCGTTAATTTTAAGGTTGATCAAAACAAAGACGCTTTGGAAAGTAAAACTCGTATATTACGTGACAAGCCTCGTAGTTTCCTGGCATTAATTTTCTGACAACTCTGTGTTGTAGTTAGAAGGGTTGTTTCATTCTGCCGCTTTAACATGTAATGCGGATTTCAAAGTCATAATAGGTTCTAATACTGTAGGATTTCGAGTCTAAGGCGCGTGTAAGTTATTAGAAAAAAAAGATGACATTTATTGTATTCATCAAAATAGTTTTGATATAAATTATCTAGCAAACTATTAAAACTTATCAAACGTCTCGTTACTCTTCACGTCCTTCTGCTTACCTGTTATCTCTGTTCCTGCCGAATTTGAGTACCTGCATCTCTTTGCTTCAAAGCTCCTGCTAACAGACGAAAATTCTTTCGGTATGCTATTTACTAAACGCCTACAAAATTGTTCGGGAACAAGTACCGTGCTTGATATTATCTCGGCTTTTAAGTCTCTCTTCTCCCGCAAGTCATCGCTTACTATTCAAATATACGGCCATCGCCTAGTGACACCACGTGGGTGACGTCATCAGTGGTTTCGCGACAGAAAAGAAAGCGAATATATATATATATATATATATGTGCACGTGGCTCAAACAGCAGGGTTGCCAATGAAATACGCACCATGGTGACTCCGCCAATACACGAACATGATGAACCTATTTATTCTGATCATCTACCAGTAACGAAAAGAGCTTTCTTAGCTAGGCATGCGAGTGAAAAGCAACGCATGAGTCATTAGAAGTACTTTCACATTTCTTTCCAATCAGAAAACCTCTCTTGATAAACAACTCTATTTAAGGCTTCAAATTGCCTGTAATGTTGTTTTTATTTCAGATTATTTTCAGTGCCGTTAGAATATTTACAGTGTGAAAAATGTACAGCATTGAAGGTTTCAGTTTTATTTGAAATTATATTTCTTCATTTCATCCCTTTCTAAAGGTTCTACTGAGACAAATGCAAATTTTCAACCTCTTCATGTCTGCGATAAGAAAAAGATACAAAAATAACTCAAAACTTTGACTCCTACATTGTTACATACAGTGGAGTGGTTTCCTTCGAATCCATGTCAGTAACTTTCCTAAACCACAGTTTGTTATTTAGTTGTTGTTCTCGAAAAGTTGGTAGCCTCAATCTTCAAGCAATGCTTAAAGAACTGAACTCTTTTTTTTTCTTCTCTCTCTCTCTCTAATAATCCCATTATCACCAGAAATTTGCAACAACAACGAAAAAATAGGAGACATGACTCGACTATTTACGTAATTTTGTAGACAGAAATTAACAGAAATTATCTTTAGTATGCCTGCCGCGGGTATCTAAACCTCATTTTTAGAGTAAAAGTCCACAGATTTACCGTTGAGCTACAGGGGAGCTAAACGTAAAATAGTAAAGTCTAACTTCCATCCTTCAGCAAAACCTTTAATTAACTATTGGTTTCAAATCCTCCTCTCTTCAACTTAAATGTGGTGTCTTACTATAAAATTTGTTGTTTTTTTTATCACATTATAAATATATATATACTTATAGTAAAACGTATCGTTCAAATGGCAATCTGTATAGACAACGGTAACATCGTGTATAGACAACAGTGACATCATGTCACAAATAATGAAGTGTAAATTTTACTCGATGGAGCGTAATAAATATGGCTTATGTTTGGTTGAAATATACGATATTGCAATGTAATTTGTCATAAACGGTATTTCCTACTTACCTTAATTATAGAAAATAAAACTTGTTAAATAATTTACTGACTTTAGAATATAATAAAACACCTATAGCGAAAATGGCCAGCGTTTTGTTTCGTCATGAGTTTTTATGACTGGAAGTAAGCAATCCTTACACAGTCGTGGTCCAATAGTTATCGGATCGGAAGGTCCGAGATTCGATCCCGCGATATTCCGCTGAAAATGCACCCCTATAGTATCCGTGGACGCGCAATAAAAGTAACACAAAATCTCGCTATTCGATTCAAAGAATCGAAGAAACCCCTTGTGGGGGCTGACCAGCTGCCTTCTTTTAAAATCAGGAACGGCTAAACCCGAATCCTAAAGTAGTCTCCGACTTAACCGTTCAGCGTTAGTTACTACTCAGGTTAAAAATACTAACAACCAAATTAATTTTAAAGACGACCCAAATAAAGAGCAGATATTCAATTGATTTTTGTACGCTAAACCTCGAGATCAAGAAATAATTTTCCACATTTCGGAAACACATAAAAGACGCCAGGATAATGAAATTGCAGAATTTGGTGCCAAGTATTAGGTCATCAAGAAATTAATGTCGCTCTGTTTCAGATGAAAAAACCAGCATGATACTTTTCCATCTTATAATCAGGTTGCTAATGCCATGATTAAAGAAATCACTTGGCTCTGAAGCAAAAACATGTCCATGTGCTCTTTAACATCTTTCACATTTGCATACGTTTTCCCATTAAGATGGTGTTGCAGCAAACGAAAAAGATGGTAATCTGATGGTGCCATATCTGGAGAATATGGTGGGGGGGATTCCCAACCCAACTCCATAATCTTGTGTTGCATCAAACGTGCCAGAAGAGAAGAAGCAATGTTCACACGTTGGAAACAATGGTCATTGGAGAGTTCGTGAGGCACCCAAACACCTTCTTTATGGAGTTTTCCCATATTCATTAAATATTTACGTATTGTTTCGTGAGAAACATGCAATTTCAGTGCCATTTCATCAGCGTGTTGCCTTGGGTTAGACTCAAAAAGCGTCTTCAGAGCATCAATATCAATTCCAACATGTCGGCCCCTGCCATCACAGTCTTTGAAGCTAAAGTCACCTGAACGCAATTTGTTGAGCCATCGTTGACACTTACGAACGTTCAAAACATTTCTATAAACTTCTTTGTGGCTACAGAGGCGTTGTTTCCCTTGTTGTATTCAAACAGCATTACATGCTGAATGTGTATCTCATCGTGTACCATCACTATAATAAATTAGACTATACTAAACTTTACACATTATATAGGCTACACTAATATGACATTTAGGTGGTTCGTTTAACTATTATACATGATGTACGTTTTTTGGGGGGTGGTTAATGAAAGTGTTCCAAAATGCGACATTAATTTCTTGACGACCTAATACTTTACTGAATCTTCTCGTTTATGGCTTTAAGGGCTTTTCCTCATCGTATGTTTAATATAAATAATTTTGTGGATTAATAAAGTAGATCGCAAACGCAAACAAAGAAAAAATACACTCTGTAAAGCTACAAAAATACCATTTCCCATCTACAGGTATAATTAGCTCTTGGCGGCTTTCTTAGGGGCTGGTTAGACTTAATAACAGTGAAACTGGCAGCTCTTGGCTAGTTGTGACGTGAAAGTTACTTTTTTCCTGATGTAACTGTTGGTGTTTTCATTTTCACCTTAGCCCGTCATGGCCAGATGGTTAGGGCGCTTGACTCTCAATCTGAGGGTCTCGGTTTCGAATCCTCGTCCCACCAAACATGCTCGCCCTTTCAGCCGTGACGGGCAATCCCACTATTTGTTGGTGAAAGAGTAACTCAAGAGTTGGCGGTGGGTGGTAATGACTAGCTGACTTCCCTCTAGTCTTTCACTGCTAAATTAGGGACGGCTAGCGCAGATATCTCTCGTGTAACTTTGCGCGAAATTCAAACCTCTTTCATATTTTGTTCATATTTTTATTTGTAGCAGGGTTTATTTTAAGGAAATTTTAGAACTGCACAAATCTTTAAGGTAGGTGCCATGACCCAGTGTTAGAGATTCTCTGAGTCTGAGAAGCATTTGTAATGGCTATTTTTAACATTTTATAGATTTTAAGAGTTGTCATTAATTTTTATTTGTTTTTATTCATTGTGAATGATAGTGGTCTAGCAAGTTGTCCAAGTTTTACGTTTCACTTCACCCGTAATTGATATTCATTGTCATCCCATCCATGGTACGGCAAGTATTTTAAAATACCTGATGTAGTTGTAAATTCGATATATTATATGTAATTTAGTAAATGGATCGCTTTTATCCTAGTGTTCCATAACTCCATCGTGTTGATGAAACTCGTACGACACTACTTTTTGCCTGTGAAGTCTGTGTACGATAAAGCCTATTAAGTTGGAAGCTGTTAAGTAATTTCAAGTTATGTTCATTTCGTAAGAGTAATACTAGTATGTTTTTGTTTCAGATTGTCGAATATTCAAATTGAGTCACATTTTACGTAAAAATGGACTTAATAAAATGGCTGCAGTCTGCAAAGGAGAGAGGGGAAAGGGAAAATACTGAACCCAGTACTACTAGTACACAGGTCAAGCCAGTCATAGAGCCTAAACCCAGCACAAGTTCCAGTGGACAGGACATGCCAACCACTGATTCTGAGCCCAGCACCGGTTCTAGTGGACAACACATGCCAAAATCGCAGAAAGGGGAAGAAAATACCAAGGGAACTCCCGGTACTGCAAATGTAAGATATGTATTAATTCACATCCATAGAAATGGGCGACATTACGTTCATTGTGATTTATGCAGTAAAGACATGGTTACGGTCAAAATGTTTACCTTTAAACGCAAGATACCTTCCATTGGTATTGATACTGGCACAATTTACAGAGAATCTGTTGAAGAAGCCCATTTTAGTTCTGATGCCCATAAACCTGTGTTGCTTAAGAAAAGATACGATAGCCTTTCAAAAACCCAGTTGGTGAAGGAAACCTCAAAGGGTAAGGCTATTGCAAAAACTAATGAAGAGTTAGCTAATAAGATTGGTAGTTTGCTCATTCGTGTTTATGGAGATGGCAAAAAACTTACTTTATCTGCAAATTCTTTTCCTATGAGAATGGGGGTGAGCAGGAAGTCACAGTCTTTTAACTTTAATGATAAATCTAAGGAGGTAAAACTTGATCAAAACTTGCAGTATGTCTCACCTGTTAGCCACCTGGAGATGCTAAAGTGTATTGTGGAAGCAGACAGGGCGTCGCTTTCAAACAAGATAGAACAGTCCATAGCAATATTCCTTAGATGTGATGGGTCAGTTGACCGAACTCAGATAGACAAGATCTTTGTTATGGCAAAGCTAGTTAGCAAAACTGGGAAAGATGAAACGGTGTTCTTAGGTGCAGCAGAACCTGAAATAATGGGAGCACAAGGACTTTTTAATGCAGTTAAGACGGCCTGCAAAAACACAGTTGGTGAACCCACTACAGAATATATTTTCCAAAATATGTCATCATTAGCAACTGATGGAGCCAGTGTTAATACTGGAGAAGGAAATGGTCTGTGGGCATTATTTGATTCGATTGACTCTGAAATCCCAAAACTTAAAACATCTGGTGTGGTGTTCATCGTACTCAGTTAGCTTGGAAGTCAGTCACAGATCTAGTTTCTGAAGTAAGCCACTTGCTGCAGAAACTAAGTGGATTGTCAACCTTTTTTCACACTTCTGGTCTGAAAATTCGATAGTTGAAAGAATTAGCCAGGACAAATGATTTAGCATGTCTGTCCCTTCCAAAAGTATTTGAAGTTCGTTGGAGTGAGTACACATTTTCCCTGGTGAATT